CTTCCCCCCCTTCTTATAACCCCCACCTCCACCAATTTGAAAGTGTGCTGAAGAAAACCACATTTCTACATCATCGTGAAGTCTGCATGCGGCTGTCCACAGCAGCTGTCAAAGTATTGTCAAGAGAAATCTCATTTAGCCCTAATGACCTGTTGTCCCTGATAATCATCTTGGTATTGGCTCCTAAGGTTCTGTTGTTATTGCTTACTGACAGTTAATTAGAAAGACAGTCACAAAGGTTGGCTTTTTCCAAAATGAAGCTAAATAGCAACACGGAGCCTTTAAAAAAATCTGTATTGAAAAATCCTAAAATGACCCCCCCACCACCACTCTGCAGCTGAATTGACTGCAATAAAGTTTCTCATAAAACGTTCCATAGGCCGATCGATTTGATGATTCTGTGACCAGAGACATTTTACTGTAGAACTTAAAAGAGAAAGAAGTCTTCCTTAGATTTCCTGCCAAAACTGAGATTGGTCACATTATGTCAGGGACTGTGACCTGTGAACTACTAAAAGTAGGTTAACTCTTCTTTAAATTAGGGATAAGCAGATCTTCAGCATTCTCTTCCTTGAACATTTTCTCCGGACTACACCATTTCCCTATATTCTGGTTTTCCTAGATTTTCTAAAATTAATTCTAGAATCCAAATATATATAGTTCGATGCAGCTTCTGTTGCAGTCTTTCCCTCATTACATTGGTGATGCAGATGTGTGTGCTGATAAAACAAAAAAGTTATAAAGCACTGTGTTTCATTTGTGCAAAGTTTTCTTGGGTACACCTGCATTGCTAAAGGCAGCACACGTTAAGAATCTTGTAATTATATTGAGATTGGTTATTCGCCGCATTTTATCCATGCATAAGTATATACTGGTAATTCATAGGAGAAGGAAAGGAATTTGAGCTAATAAAAGCTGTGACAAAGTGCAAAATACACAGTGCTCTGTACAGAACTTCAAAAAAAGAAGACAGAATTCCTTAAGCTTTGATTCCACTTTGGAAACAGGGCTGGGTGATCCTGAACTCCACAGTTTGGGAGAAAATGTGGTTATGGAGGATTTGACTCCTTGATACCTCAATGCTCCTGTCAAAATTCGTATTGGCAGTCTAGCCTATGCAAAGTACAAAATATTCCAGATTCCATAACAAAGACAAATAATAAATTAAACCTACATTCCCTTAATTTGCCAAATATATCCTGATAACAGAATTTACAGTTTCTGTTCGAAGCATCTGGTTTTCCTGATTTCTGAACTGTCATTTCTAAGAATTCATGGAGGCTTCATTCAGCTCAGCTAATGTAATGAATATTATGTAAGGGAAGGGGGCATGGCATAGCCCATAACCACAATGGAAGGACTCTGCAGTGGAAGGCAATGGCAAACCACCTATGTGTCTCACTCGCCTTGGGAGCCCCTTGTTGGGGTCGCCGTAAGTCAGCTGTGACTCAACAGCACATCACACACACACACACACACAGAGAGAGAGAGAGAGAGAGAGAGAGAGAGAGAGAGAGAGAGAGAGAGAGAGAGAATATTGTATCAGCCAGCCTTCATAACATCATCTGTAATAGGGTTAAGTGCTATAGGGTTATGGTGCATAAGGGGAAATTCTTCTGTTTAGATGCTGGCCTCCTCTGGGATTGTCCCTCGAGGGTACTCACAAATGGGCCTTAGTCTTATGTGCTATGTTCCCTGATTCTCCCTCTTCCCCAAAGATGAACAGGTACATTTTAACTGGGGAGATTAACAGTGGCCTCCTAAGAAGGGTTACATCCTTCTGAGTACACTGAAGTCAGCGAGCTCTGAAGGATCTAATTCTGTTTAAGATGTAACTGAAATTCACATGAATTACATTTTAGGTTTCAGAGCAGTAACTATAAATTATTTAGATAGCTTTGAAAATATTGCCTTTTACGCTGTCTACCTTATTGTGACATCTGTCTTAGCTAAAGCAGCATCTGGAATAATAATCTGTTACCTGTCTGAAAAATTGTGGAATGTATTTCCCTTCCTTAATGAAAGATGAACAGTTAACTGTCCTTATTGAGGCTATGCAGTTAAGACATGGCAGTAACAAATTTAGAACCTACTGCCTGTCTCATTGTGTGTGCCAGGTTGGAGCCAGGCCCTAAATTGTGTATTACACTTGAATGAAAGTCTCAGGAAAGCAATGAATGGAAACCTGAAGTCAAATAGAGATCCATAAAATATCTAAGATGGAGAAGAATTATGGCCCGGAGCTCATTGGTACACATGCCCCAGAGAAAGTTAGTAGCACTGTATTCCCATTGAAATCAACTGTGCATCTACCTTAATGCAATGGGATGTGGCTAATTTTCTCTAGATTGTGGCCATTAACATCTGTGTGAGTGGAGTTTGCCCTCTTCACTTTAGTGAATACGCGTACAGTGGGAAAGGGGCGCACCATGTTCACACAGAGCACTGTGTGTGTACTGGATTGGACCGGCTGGATTTATGGGTAATGACTTGGCGGATCAGAGTGAGAAATCAATGACTCTGAACCAGAGAGAGTTAGTATGCCTGGATCTTGTCGACTTCAGTGGGACAAGTTGTTTACTAAAGCCCCCTTGATTTCAGCAGCATTTAAGCCCAACAGGTGTTTGCTTGATCAGAGCCCATTATGAGATGAGTTGGGATTGAAGGTTTGAAAGGAAAGAAGTTTCAGTACTGAGTAGAGCATGAGAATCTAGGCAAAGGCAGCAGTGGCTTAAATATAAGAGTTTATTCTTCAAATTATTTATTACTTGTATCACAGATGTTTATAAGCATTTGCTGCAGAAAGATTGATTGATGGATTGACCACCCAAAACAGTGGTAAAGAAACTGATGATTGTTCAGAGACTGATTTCAGAATGGGAATCCTGTTGTTTTTGTAAAGCAGTAACAATAATGATGCCAAAACAAATCAGACTATGTCATGTATTGTTTATCTAACTAGCACTTAAACAACTTCTCTCCTTGTAGAGTACCCAGCATGTGATCAGCTGTCTTGTTCCAATGGAGCATGCTTTAATGCAAGCCAGCATTGTGATGGTAAAGTGGACTGCAGAGATGCTTCTGATGAGACCAACTGCAGTAAGTATCGCATTTCTACTCCCCAAAACAGCTGCTAGCCATTTATCAGTTGATTGGTGTACTTCTGTTTCCGGAACACACTCATGTCTTCTTCCTTCCTTTCAGCACATGGCTGCTCCAACACCCAGTTTCAGTGTGGGAATGGAGAATGTATCCCTCGAGCCTTTGTCTGTGACCATGACGATGACTGTGGAGACAGGAGCGATGAACACTCTTGCAGTACGCTGGCTTCCGCTTGCATATCTTTGACTGCTTTACAATCCACTCCGCAAATGTTCTAAAATACCAGGACAGTTTACCTCAGTAGTTCTACTTGCTTTCTGGATTCCCCCCCCCCCCACTAACCATTTAAAACTTTTAATGTTATTTAACTGTCATATGCACTGGAAAGCACTTTTAAGATCTGCTGTGATGTGTATTGAGTTTCTACTAGTCATGCACACATATTGATTGTTAGTCTTGGAAATGCTGCCAGTGAGCATGGCGGCCGAGCTTCAGTAGCTGTTAAATAGGGAATGTGCAGTTAAAACTATTTGGAGTCGTGTGACTTTTACCCATAATGAGGCAGAGTTAATGTGCACACGGGCCATTTTGAACTTGTATGCACACTGAACATGGTTGCTCTGAGCCTGAAAATTCCTAGATGAGGACACATGAGCATCTCCATGTTAATAAGGTCAAGCCTGTAGGGAACGCAGGTTCTATCAAACATCAAGTAGTCTTATTTCCATGTGCAGGTGTTGAGGGCCGAAGGACAGCTAAAAAGTTGGCGCTTTGACTCTGGTTAAAGGTTGATGGTTTTTCCTCCCCTCTCTTCCTCAGCATATGCAACCTGCAAAGGGAATTTCTTCACTTGCCCAAGCGGTCGCTGCGTTCATCAGACCTGGATCTGTGATGGAGACGACGACTGCGAAGATAATGCAGATGAGATTGGATGTGGTAAAGAATGAAATGTGACAGTTACAAATAAGATCTTATTAACTCTTCTAAGGTTCTAGAACATGACTCAGCAAACATCTTGCATCCGCCCACTTTTGGAATTTTGCTTATTTAACATATACATTATTTTTGTCTTTTTTGTTGCTAAGTTTTGAACACAGAGCAACAGGCTGAAGCTGGGCTCTGTCTTTGCAGTGTTAGGGTTGCATGCTTTTCCCTTGGGAATTCAGTAGTCCCTAAAATATTAGCTGTAATATATCAGAGTTTTTATCCAGGGACCACTGCACAACAGAATATTAACATGGCGCATTCTAAAGAGCCAGTTTGGTGTAGTGGTTAAGAGCGGCGGACTCTAATCTGGAGAATGGGGTTTGATTCCCCACTCCTTCTCCACATGAAGCCAGCTGGGTGACCTTGGGTCAGTCACGGTTCTCTCAGAGCTCTCGCAGCCCCACCTACCTCACAGTGCATCTGTTTTGGGGAGGGGATGGGAAGGCGATTGTAAGCTGCTCCAAGACTCCTTCAGGTGGTGAAAAGCAGGATATAAAAAACAAGTCTTCTCCTTCTTTTCTTCTAAAGAACAGGGTCCTGGGCAGAGTTCATGATCCAAAATATTGCATGATGCATGCCATTGTGGTGCAGTGGTTAGGTGGTCAGACTAGGCCGAGGCCGAGGTTTGAATCCCTGCTCTGCCATGGAAGTCTGCTGGGTGACCTTGGACCAATCACTCTGTCTCAGCTACCTCACAGGATTGATGTGAAGATAAAATAAAGGAGAGGAGAATGATGTAAACTGTTTTTGGTCCCCATTGAGGAGAAAGGGAGCATGCCCAGACCCTTCCATATGTGACAATAACTGGGGCTAGTGGCTTTCCTGAAGAATGGGACAATGTGGCCTATAAATCATCCCAGTTATTTATTCCTAATTAATCTAATCACTTTTTAATTGTTATAAAATAAAGGCTTATTTTAACATGCATGATATTAGTAACATTAGTACCAACAATACTGGTTTATTTGTTTCCCCCCCAGATGAAACAGGGCCACTTCGCACATTACATTTTTAATGTGTCAACTTTGCAATGCTAAGAGCACTTTCCTGGACATGAGCCCCATTGAATAGACCTGAGTAGGATTCTGGGTAGACCTGTGTAGGATTGCTCTCAATGATAGTTAAGGTTATATCTAAAAATGTAGGGTATAAATGTGATGGATTCATGTTTGGAAACATATGCAACCATAAAGGTGCAATCTTTAAGGAATTTTGATTGGACTGAATATGTACTTGGTGGCAAAGCCAGAGTCCCCTTTACGGAATATGCAAGATAGCCCATGGTAATAATAGAAGATGAGGTTTTTCAAATGTATTTTGAAGGAGCAAGACGAGTCAGAGAAAGTTAGATTGTCTGCTAGAATATGTTGTAGTCTTTCGTAATTAGAGAATTAATGACAATAGTTAAACCTTACTCCAAAACGAAATACAACTTGAGAATAATGCTCAATGATTTTCTTTCTTTAGAGAGTGGTAATCGAGATTGCTACCCAGGTGAATGGGCCTGCCCTGTATCAGGGCAATGTATTCCAGTTGGTAAATTCTGTGATGGGACTCCGGACTGTCCTGATGGAGAAGACGAAACCAACGTAACAGCAGGCAGACACTGCAGTGAGTGTGGAACGCCAGAATTGCCATGTGGGCCACTCTTAATTGCTGTTGAGATCACAGTGTGGGAAACAGGAAAAGCATTTTTAGTCATGGCAAGAATAAGCGACACAGTTGTCACAGCAGTCGTGGTAAAATGTTGTTGAACTTGTGTGAATAGTGGTTGGTTTTGTAATGATTCTACCATATACGTTTTGAAAGAGAGACTCTGCTTTAACAAAAATTAGTTCCAAGTATTTGAAGTGTTTCTAAGTATTTCAAGATCTGCTGTACCAAGAAGTACAGTGCATTGGCCGGTTTGCTAATCTGGACCATTGCATTCCCAGCTCCTGTGCCTAACGGTGCAGTTCTAAACAGAGTTACACCCTTCTAAACCCATTGACTTGAGTTGAATGGTTAGCATTGCACTGCTGTTCTTGAAATTGGCTGTGGTCACCAGGGTGGAGGGTGGCTAACTCAGTCCCAGAGATTAGTGGTTCAGGAGGCAATAGGCTTTGCCACTAGATGGGTCCAAGTTGGTCTCGCAAGGCAATGCCAGAGAGGTTCAGCTTGGGCTTGCCTGATATGCTTTGCTTGCGGTGAAAAAATAACTTGAACCAACCCTGATGGTCATATCTGTTGGCTGAGCTGCTGTAAGACTCATGTTGCAAAATTGCCTGATTTTCCAGTGATGTCTTGACATCACGTGTACATTGAGGTCACCTAATTGTAAGCATCATACTGTCACAGTGATTGTGTGTTTGGACTTCACATGAGTAAAGCAATGTTGGTTGAAACCGTAATTGTGCATCTCAGTCGTTTGATCCAAATTGTAGCTGTTCCACCACAATTAGCATTCAAACTGTGTGTTCTTTTTTTTGTAGACATATCTCGCTGTGCGGCCTTGAGTTGCCAGTACCGTTGTCACTCTTCACCCTCTGGAGGAGCATGCTATTGCCCTGCGGGATATGTAATCAGCCTCAATGACAGCCGCACCTGCATTGGTAAGGGGAGAACGTTGAGCTATTGATTACCTGACTCAAGAATGTTATAGTTAAAACTTTACATCTTCTAAAATATACCAAGGTTTTTGAACCATGGGTATTAAAGATGTTCCAGCTGTCGAAAACAGAGAACTCATGCTTGATGTCTAGGTTTATAATTCTGTTATTAGGAAAACTGGCCTGTGGGCCCATTTTCCTGGCATATGGGGATCCCCTTAAGGGATCTTGGCGTGAGCGCTTTTATGGGGCATGCCCAGCACGGGGGCTACCAGGTTTCAAGGGGCATGCCTACCTTGGGGGCTGCCAGGCATTCAAGGGGCATGCCCAGCTCGGGGGCTGCCAGCGGGTCATCCTCATGCTCAGGTGGCAGGGGAGACCACTCAGGGGTGATCATCCTTGTGGAATCCAGCAACCTGCCATCCCAAGGTTCTTCTCACGCCAGCAAATGGGCTGGGTGGGATGGGGTACCTAGACTGGCAGGTGGGTGAGTCAGTGCCAGGATTCGGTGGACTCATGCTGTGCCAAGACTTCTTACAGCTGTAACTAATAAAGTTGTGGGTGTTTCATTCCACATTTTATTCCAAAATGTTGTTCGTGACTGTTTTATTGGTGGGTAGTTGTAAAGGGGTTCTTGCCTGGTGCTGCCCTCTCTCCTTCTCTGGGCGCTGGGACTGCAAATACCAAGCTTTTGAACTATGGGTATTAAAGGAGATATTCCAGTTGTCAAACAGAGAACTCATGCTTGATGTCTAGGTTTATAGTGCTATATGTTTTACAGTTTTGTGTTACAGTTTTCATGTTGTGTTCGTGTGTGCCGTTATTAGGGCAAGAATTCCTGTAATTGTAATCTGGATCGAGGTGGTGTGGCGGTACTCCTGTTGTTAGATCTGTCGGCCGTGTTTGACACGGTCGACCATCAGCTGCTGACTCACCGCCTCGCCGACTTGGGGATCCAGGGGCTGGCCTTGCAATGGCTTGCTTCCTTTCTCCAGGGTCGGGGACAAAGTGTGGCGCTAGGGGAACAGCAGTCCAGGAGACACCCACTGGAATGTGGTGTGCCTCAAGGGGCAGTGCTGTCCCCGATGTTATTTAACATCTATATGTGCCCCCTTGCCCAGATTGCCCGGAGGCACGGGCTGGGTTGCCATCAGTACGCTGATGATACCCAGCTCTATCTGATGTTGGATGGCCAGTCGGACTCCAGACCGGAAGATCTGGACCAGGCTTTACAAGCCGTGGCTGGATGGCTCAGGCTGAGCTGGCTGAGACTGAATCCGGCGAAGACGGAGGTCCTGTGCCTGAGTCAGAGTGGTTCGGGGGTGGGATTCCCATTCCTGACCTTCGGTGGGGCACCATTGGTGCCAGCGTCGGAGGTTAGGAGTTTGGGAGTGCTCCTGGGTGCCTCCTTAACAATGGAGGCCCAGTAGCAGCCACTGCAAAATCGGCCTTTTACCACCTTTGGCTGATTCGGCAGTTGGCTCCCTTCCTCGGCAGTGATGACCTGGCTACAGTGACCCATGTGATGGTTACCTCGAGACTAGACTATTGTAACGCTCTCTACATGGGGCTGCCCTTGTCGCAAATCTGGAGGCTGCAGTTAGTGCAGAACGCCGCAGCCAGGCTGGTGACAGGCCTCCCTAAATGGGAGCACATCCAGCCTGTGCTGAAGGCACTGCACTGGCTGCCAATAGCATACCGAATCCGCTTCAAGGTGCTGGTATTGACCTTTAAAGCCCTATATGGCCAGGGTCCGACATACCTGCAGGATTGCCTTTCCCCATATATACACCAGTGAGCACTACAGTCAGGAACACAACATCGACTGACTGTTCCTGGCCCTAAGGATGCCAGGCTTGCGGCCACCAGGGCCAGGGCCTTTTCAATGGTGGCTCCACACTGGTGGAATGAGTTCCCAGAAGAGATCAGGGCCCTGCGGGACCTTTTGCAGTTCCGCAGGGCCTGCAAGATGGAGCTCTTCCACCAAGCTTTCAATTAGGAGCCGCCATTCCTCCTCCTCCACCACCAAGATCAGTGATTTTGGGTTGACTCTGGTCCCGGGGAGGGTTTGCTTTATATTATCGCACCAAGCTGAAGATCATCGTCGCCGATAAAAATGGTTAGTGCGCCATCTGACTCATTCAATGATTACCATCAAAGAGTACCATCACTAGCACTTTAATTTTTAAATGTTGGACTGTTTTTAATGCTTAATGTTGTGGTTGTAAGTTGTTTAAATTTTGTACATGGTTTTTATGGTACAGGGTACCAATTACTGTAAGCCGCCCTGAGCCTGCTTGTGGGGAGGGCGGGGTATAAATAATAAATAAATAAAGAATTGTACTCTGAAACTTTGACAGAAGGGCCAAACCTGGTGGGGCTAACTTCTCTTCAGCATGAACTTCAGACCTCAGTGAAACTTTTGTTTTTGATGAGAATCCAGATCCAGAGGCACTGAAATAACAGAGGGGACATCTTCAGTTCCTTGAGCTGGTCTTCATTTGTAGTTAGTCTGATAATGCACAATAATGAAAGTTTTATTTTTTGAATGACGGCATTAGGAATTATTTCTCCAGGGAGTTGAAGTTTTCATCAGCAGACTTGGAGACCCTCCAGAAGTCTTAGGTTGGATTCAGACATCATATCATAAACAGTCAGGAGTTTGTTTATGATTTGCACAAATTTGGTTAATTGTGGGGCTTTTGTGTGCCATCTCCCCCTACATGGCACACTGAAACGGAAGACAGAAGTCTTTCACTAATTCTGAATGTGGGTGCCTTAACAAATTGAAGCTAGTTGCTTTCCCAGTAACCAGTATTCCAAACCTAGTTAAGAGTGCAATCCTAAGCAGGTCTCCTCGGAATCCTACTCAAGTCTGTTCAGTGAGGCATATTCCCGGGAAGGTGATTTTAGAGATGGTACTGCAAGAACCCTTCCAGCTGAGAAACAGGCACCTTCAGTTTGTTAAGGCCCTGCATTTGAACATAACAAAGAAGAGGATCTTGATTAAAAACTTGCATCTTCAATCTTGGCACCCATGCAAGGGGAGGGTGTGTGTGTGTGTGTAGAAGCCCAACACGTCCAGTGTGAACAGACTCCAGATTCAGAAGGGTGCTTTGTCTCTTGAAAGCATATGCCCTGGAAACCTTAAGGTGCTACTGGACTCTTAATCAAACCCCAGTTTGTACATGATGTCTGAGTGCAACTGCGGTGTCAGGGGAAGAGGATCTAGCTCAATCTTCTGCCTGACTTGAGCTCTATATGTTCAGAAATGTTTCAGTTTCAAGGAGCACTCAACTACCTGAGCTCCCGTCTGCAGTCTGACGTGGTGTAACCCAAACGGGTTTATCATCTCTGTGAGCAGCGAGTTCTGGTTTGCTCTTATGTTTGCCTTAGCTGGAGAGCAACACAGTGATCCAGTTTCCGCTGGCCTAATGTTTATTGAGGTGAAGGTGTTTAATCTGCTAATGCCAAAAGCTGAGTCCAGATTAGTGTTGGTAATCTTCTGGTTGCTTCGTGTCTTTGGATGAGAGCATAAGAGACAGTCTGGCTTCAGGCACGATGTCTGAAGACAAGCTGTTAGGCTATTTGCTTTGCTTTCAAACGGTTGCAACTACCCAGACATTTGATTTTGTCCTTGTGATAAAAATACTCATAATAATTTAGAAAGTTGATTAGACAACATCCATCCCAGTAAAACAGGATGCTCAGGAATATCTTGGAGCTATTTGCGTAATGGCCCCTGACATTTGAAGAAAGACAGTTTTCATAAATCACAGAAGTCAGGCCAAACAGTTCTGTTTATCGTAGACTTGCCGTGGTTTTATTTCATGAAATAAGCAGTCTTTCGTGCCCAGGATCAGACTGGGTAAGCTCTTAAATAGCATGGAGATAAAATTTATTTCGATTTCTTTCCTGGTCTGTCACAAGGGCTCTGGGAAGATTCTAATTAGTCTGGGTTTTTCCCCCTACAACACAGTCAATCAGTGTAGCACCCCCCCTCCCCAATGCCCCAGCTCTGAATAAACATAAATAACTCTTTGGAACAGGAAAGAAGGAAGCAAGCAAGCAAGAGAAGAAGGAATGAAAAATGACTGAGGAAATGTATCTGTATCTGTTTATTTTTGAAGAACAAACTTAACTCCTTATTAAACCTCATCTCCCCTGTGTCACACAAATTCAGTTGCCACTGCTCATTTAAATTTTTCCCCTTGCTGCACAGTTTCTGGTTGCACATTAGAATAAACTCAGATACATCTGTTTATTTAAAATGGGTTAGGCTGGGGCAGGGCAGTGGTACTTGCTTAAGGCTATCTGCTTTTTTGATGGCTGTGGAAGCATTTGGATTTTTGAATCTGGATTGGAAACTGTGTCAGAGCCTAACACAAAGGCTGCATTTTCCAAAGGTGACTGTTGGTCTGTGGCCAGTTGAAGGAAAACGAAACCTTATTGGAACCATGTAGAAGACGTGGGTGCTGGTGCTGCAGCTGGTGATGCTTTGAGCCTGTCACTCTTAGAGCCAAACTGGATGTTATGGCAACCATGGATCTGATCTAGGGCCAGCGAGGCTATTTTAGAGAAGGATTTGGCCATTCAGAAATGCTGCGAGGTCCTGGGCCCACAGCACAGTGGGACCAGGAGATCTTGTTGGACAGTTTTTCGGCACTTCGTACCATTGCAGCATATATAAATTCTCTAAAATGGGTTGGACCTGTGGCTGCTGAAGTGTCTGGTTTGGCCCATAAGCTCTTAGCATTCTATGCCCTGAGTTTACTATTTCTCCCCTTCCTGTCCTATCGTGGAAAACAGGGGAAGGACACAGGTTTGGTGTGTGCTGTGGGCTTAAAGGGTATGTTTTTGTCCAGTGTCTATTTATTTTATTTTTATTTATTTATTTATATTTGGATTTATATCCCGCCCTACCCCGAAGGCTCAGGGCAGCTGACAAGGGCACCATGTGCCAAGGTTACAACAATAAACACATAATTTAAAAACAATAAATTACAATAAAATACAGTAACAAATTTGCAATACAGATTTAACCAAGATGGGTAGATCTTAACCTCCATAGCAGCTCCCTGAGATCTTATCATCCAATCCGTGCCCAGGCACCTCGCTCCCCCCGTAGGGACCAAACAATCATGATGGTAATACGACAGTGCACAGGAGGTGGAGGTGGAATAGTGGTGGCGGCGGCTCCTACTTAAAGGCCTGGCGGAAGAGCTCCGTCTTGCAGGCCCTGCGGAACTGAGAAAGGTCCCGCAGGGCCCGGATCTCTTTCGGGAGCTCCTTCCACCTGGTATGAGCCGCCACCGAAAATGCCCTGGTCCTGGTCACCGCAAATTTAACATCTCTAGCGCCTGGAAATTCCAGGAGATGACGCCCCCCTGACCGTAGTGCCCTTGGGGGAACATATGGAGAAAGGTGGTCCCTCAGGTAGGCAAGTGCTTCTGTGTATTTGTGGGGAAAATAAGTTTGATGTGCCACTTGTACTCCGGATAAGAGGCCACTGTTAGGACAGGATATGGAGAAACAGAATGGCTTCCAGTTGGCAAAGGTGTCAGAGGAGGATGTATTTTAGCTCCCTGTTTCTTTTATGTGTATGCAGAACATATCATAAGGAAAGATGGATTAGATTTAGATGAAGGTGGACTGAAAATGGGTGGAAGGAACACTAACAATTTGAGATATGCAGATGATAGCACATTATTGGCAGAAAACAGTGAAGACATGAAACGACTACTGATGAAAGTTTAAGCAGGAAGTGCCAAAGGAGGATTACAGCTGAACATCAAGAAGACAAAAGTAATGACTACTACAGAATTACAGAATTTAAAGGCAGACGATGAAGAAACTGAAATTGTTCAAGATTTTCTGTTCCTCAGGAGGAGGTTGAAACTGGGAAGGGCAGCCGTGAAGGAGCTAGAAAAGATCCTTAAGTTAAAGGATGTGTCACTGGCAACCAGGATCAAGTTAGTTCATGCCATAGTATTCCCCATTACTATGTATGGGTGTGAAAGTTGGACAATGAAGAAAGCTGACAGGAAGAAAGAAATATGAAGAAGAAGAGATTGGATTTATACCCCGCCCTTCACTACCTGAAGGAGTCTCAGAGCAGTGTACAATCCCTTGCCCTTCTCCTCCCCGCATCAGACACCCTGTCAGGTAGGTGGGGCTGAGAGAGCTCTCTCAAGAACTGCCCTTGCGAGAACAGCTCTGAAAGAACTTATAACTGACCCAAGGTCACACCAGCAGCTGCATGTGGAGCAGCAGGGAATCAAACCCAGTTCTCCCAGATTAGAGTCCACACTCCTAACCACAACACCAAACTGGCTCTCTGTTGGAGGACAGTTTTACAGATGGTCCGTTGAAAAGACAAAAAGTAGGTTCTAGACTAAATCAAGCCTGAACTTGCTCCCCTAGAAGCCTAAATGACTAAACTGAGGCTATCGTACTTTGGTCATATTATGAGAAGACAAGAGTCACTGGAAAAGACAACAATGTGAGGGAAAGTTAAAGGCAGCAGGAAAAGAGGAAGACCCAACATGAGAAGGATTGACTTCATCAAGGAAGCCATGGCCCTCCGTTTTCAAGGCCTCAGAATGACTCTTAACGATAGGACATTTTGGAGGACATTAATTTATAGGGTTACTATAAGTCGGAAGCGACTTGCCGGCGCTTAACATTTAATGCACAGAACATGGCATGATCTGGTGGAGGGTCTCCAAGTCTCTGAAAAAAAAGATCTTTTTTTTTCTTTTTTGGTTTGTCAAGTTGCAGCTGGCTTCTGACAAACCTGTAGGGTTTTCGAGGCAAGAGACTGAGGTGGTTTGCCATTGCCTTCCTCTGAGTCACGACCCTGGTATTCCTCAGTGGTCTCCCATCCATCCCAGCAGGACTGAGATCTGACAAGATGGGGCTAGCCTGAGCTATCTGGGTCAGGACAAGAAAAGATAACTGGCAAGGAATTGCGATCTCAGGAGGCAGTCTCATTGTCTAAGAAAACATGATATTTTAATGTGATGTGTGTGTGTGTGCGCACATGTGTGAATTGAGAATAAACAAGGGCCCCAGGTTGGCTCAGCAGAGAATTGCGTTGTGGCTCGTTGGGTTGGATTGCATAGAAAAGAAATAGCGATTTGGTGGTTGGGTGAGTTTTTAAGAACGATGTCTTAAAAAAAAAAAAAAGGAACGTTTTTGTTTGGCTTTTTAAAAAGAAAATCATTATCAGCCAGGACTCTGCATGAGGGGAAACGATCCAGTCCCTTCGGCTGTAGTGTATTCAGTAGCATTTGTAACCCTTTCCATTCTTACCCAGACTTCGATGATTGCAAGATGTGGGGTGTCTGTGACCAAGGATGTGAAGATCGTGTTGGCCACCATCAGTGTCACTGTGCAGAAGGATACGTCCTTGAGCATCACCGTCACTGCCGAGCCAATACCTCATGTAAGTCAGTAGCTCCAGAAGCTGAATTTCCCTGAGCGATCCTTTAAAAGCTTACATGATCTTGTCAGACTGCAGCAGCTTGAAGGGCATTTATATGCTTGTGATAAATGGAGTGCCCTTGAGTATCATGCAGGCATGCTTAATACCCTGCAGTGCCTCCCAGCGTTCTGTCCTAAGCAGCAGAAGCAGAGTCATGCTAGAGGAAGGCCCTGTCTCTCCCCTTTCAATGCAGCCTTCTGTGCCTCTTGAAACGACAGTCCTTTAGGTCAGTGGACCTGAAGATATTGTGTGGAGGGCAAATTGAGACTTTTAAGTGGGGTGGTATTGGAAAAGCCTTCTCATCCACTACAAACAGAAAAGCTGATCTGTCAGAGGAACTGTTGCAGCCACAATTGAATGGCACTTTAGGATCGAGGCCAGAACATGTCCCCCAGTTTTCCTGTCAAACCAGTTCCTTTGGTTTGCTTAAAAGGGATGGTATAACTTTCCACTAGTCAGTTATGACAGTGAGCAAAATCTACCCTGAATTAAGCACTTCTAAGTGTCATTGACTTCCATGTAGAATCACAGAATCATAGAACTGGAAGGAGCCATACAGGCCTTCTAGTCTAACCCCTTGCTCAGTGCAGGATCAGCCTAAAGCACCCCTGAGAAGTGTTTGTCCAGCTGCTGCTAGAGGACTATGGAGTGTGAGCAATTTAAGCATGATTGTAACACCACCATTGAAATGAATGATTTTTAAAGTGCTTAATTTGGGATGGAATTGCCTAGTCTTAAAATGAAATTAATAGATTTTTCTTAGCATTTTTACATATACATTAGTTATCAGTAGTGTTGTAGGGGAATTTTACAGCATTATCCCAAGTAGACTTATACCCTAATAGTCCCATTGAATTCTCTGGATTTAGAAGGCTGTAATTCTGCTTAGGATGGTCTTAGATGGCAATGTATACTTCAAATGTGAAACTACAGCTGAATATGTGAAGGCTGGGGTGGGCATTTGGATTCTCTCCCCCCCCCCCAGGTTTTCTGATGGAAAAATTGAAATATAAGGTATCATTTTTTAAAAAAAACTTTGGTGAATGTGTTTTCTCTTTTGGAATGAGTGAAATGCTTTCTAAGATAAGGTTTTACTAATTCGAAAGGTCCACAGTAATATGATGGGTTTTTTCCTGTAGGACCAGGGCTGACATCAGCATACCCTGAGATAGGGCAGCTGCCAGGGCCTGGGTCTTCTGCCAGGGCCCACAGCTGCTGACCACTCCCCGTACCTGCCCTGCCACCTGCCTGTACACCCTTCACCATCTGCTCACTTGTGAACACTTTCCATGCACACTGCAGCTAAAGTCCAGCTGTGCTTCCCGGCATAGTTGGGACAGGGTGTATGGGTGGGACACAGCAGCAGTGTGCCTAGCTGCACACTACCCAACACTGTCGGGAAAAGGGAGTGTTCAGATTCTATTGTGAGCGGGAGGGCTCATGAACAGATGGCAGAAGTCCATGGAGGCAGGTAGGAGGGCAGATGGTGGATTAGAAGGGAGGTGTCTGAGCAGGGAGCCTGGTGGGGGTAAGGAGAGGAGAGGGGGCCATTCGGTATTCTCTGACCAGGGCCCTCCAAAACCTAGAACCCGCCTGTGTAAGACAACCTACAGCTTTAGACAATGATAGTTCCTGTGTATACAGTAGAAATATACATCATCTTTTCAAGGATATGTTTGTTTAAATGTGAGCAATTTTGTCCGTTCTTAATATGCTGTGTTGTTGTGTAGGATTAATGCACCACTGAAGCATTTGCCATCTCCCATATTATAAAGGTGATGCCTAAATTTCGTGCTTGTTCTTTTGTGACTGCATGAAATGTCTCTGTCCCAAGAATACCCTAATGGTAACTGCAGCTGGAAAGAATGGGGAACTTTTAAATTCTTTCTCCCCAGGGCCATTTTTCTGCTGAAAATCCCCAGTGGGGAAGTTTAATGTTTCGCCATAGGCTGTCCCTGGCAAGCCAGTTGTCAGCTGGGTGTGGAATTATCAGCAGGAGAATGGGGTAACAGGAATGTGACCAAGCAGGTTCTCTTCCCTTCCACTGGTCTTCTGCTTCAAATTGTAGTCCCGCTAGCTACATTGTCCTGTATTAAAATTATAAAAGCAATAATAAAAAGAATCATGAAACTTTACCTCATGTGTAATTCTGCCCAGACACCCAGTTTACAGGTTGCACTGGAAGTGAAGAGTGTTGCCACAATCTCTAACTATATGTGTACTTCTCTGTGTGGTAGTTTGTCTGAATGGTGTTGGCTCTGATTATAATCACATGTGGGAAACTAGAAAATGAATACTTTTCTGGACATAGATACAGTTGGGTTGACTTTTATGGGCACTCATTTGTGCAGGCTAGCAAGTTTCCAGGTAGGCATTTAGGTCTTTGCTTACAACCATACTACAATTGTAATACAGCCATTGGTCTGTTATACTAAGATTGTCATGTAATCCATAAAGAGCTAGATTTTAGACAGTTTATGCAGTAGGTATACTTTTATATTTGATAGTCTGGTCATACTCGGTTGACTAGCACTGTTCACTATTGGACATCCTTTTTATAAGTTGCCAATTAATGTCCATTTGGCTAACCTGGGTCAGATCCTACAGGTCCCTTTCACGGAGTAAGGGCTGTATCTCCAGTGAGAGAACAGTGTCTCTTGGGGAGCCTTGCACAGTTTTCCTCCAGCTCGAGGGGCTGCAGTCAGAAAGTCAGGGTCTTGCTTTTATCATCAACCCTGGCTTGAGAGGAAGTAGTGTCGTTTCAGTAGCTGGTAACCTCAGAAATGGAGAAGAGGGGGTTTATACTCACCCAGTGCCTCCTTCTCCTCTCTGCTCTTGCCTGCTCTGGCCCTTCCGTGAGCTGCAGTGAAGGTTCAGTTACAGAGCAGTTAGCTGCATAGTTCCTGTAGATAACCATGAGCACTGGTAAGATTCTGATATCTTACCAGAAATCAGGTTCCGCTCATCGTTCACTGGTAAACTCTGCAGATGCCATGCTTTGTGCCATATTGCAGTGACGGCTTAGGATGCAGTCTGATGCAGAGGCTTCATTGGTGCACTGTTATTGATTGTCCACATGGGCTGCAAAGTCGCCTCCTTGCTGATTGCATAGGCTCCAAGCCCAGACACAGAAACTGGTGAACAATCAGTCACAGCTTTCCCCACCATCTGGTTGCAGGCCTTCCACAAGCTCTGCTGCTGGTATCAGCAGAAAAGCACCAAGTCACACTTCTTTTGTTAGTACTCTGTAGGATCAAGCATATATTATATCAGTTGTCCCCAACACGTAGCCTGTGGGCACCTTTTCTGGCACTTGCCAAGCATTTTCAGGAAGTAAGCGGATCCAGGTGGGGTTTGTTCTGATTCTCTGTGGAAAAAATATTGTTTCCAGCAGTGGAAATCACAGCACAAAAGATTTTCTTTGAGGAATGTAAGATACACTGGACCTTATCCTCTTTCCCACCTGTTGGGGGGTATGTGTTAGGGTTCTTTTCCTACCAAGCAGCAGCATCCGAGAGGAAAGGAGGCTAACTAGCTTGAAGAGAAGGGGAAGCTCTGCCTCTTCCGGCAGCCATGTTGTGCTTGTGTCCATCACCTCATGTCACAATCTGAAGGTGCCCACAGGTTCAAAATAGCTGGCGACCCCTGTATTATATCCATGTCTTCTATACTTTCAGCGGGAGTTGCTTCAATTATTTTTTCCAATGGCCGCGATTTGCTGGTTGGAGATGTTCATGGAAGGAGTTTTCGAACCTTGGTACAGTCTTGGAATCGTGGAGTGGCTGTTGGCGTGGACTTCCACTTTCAGCTGCGCAGGGTATTTTGGACCGATACAGTGCAAGATAAAGTAAGTCAAGCAAAATGGCATTCTTGGAAGTAGAAGGATCCAAGAGCAAGGATGTGTTGATAACCTTTCATTTCTGTGAACAGATGCACGGCCTTTCTTTGTTTTCCAACAAAAACGAACTTTGAGATGGTCTTGCGATAATTACCATATTTTGCAAGCTATGCTCTTACATGTAATACATCAAACAAAGCATGCCATTATATGGCACTCTCTTGAGCAACTCTGGATATTATTGGAAATGGAGTCCAAAAACCTAATTAAGAGAAATAGTAGACATTCTTTCAAACCTGGATGTATTTCTCTTTGTAATTTCTTGACATTTGATCATTTCAAATGTGAAAGTTCTGTGTTCTCCAAGAAGATAAAAATCAGATAAAGTATATTACAGATAATTGAGCACTGGGTAAGCAATATTGACAGCCTTATGTACTATGTGCCAATACTTTGTTCATTTTTTTGCTTTTAATCTTTGAATATCTCTGCTGTCGCTCTGTGGGGTGAGGGGTGAGTTTCCTCTCAGCTTGTTAACTTGTATGGCACTCTGAGTTCTTTTCAGGACTCCAGGGGCATGATATCCTACAGTAACAGATCTTGCTTCTGCCTCGCGTGTCTTGGTGAAGATCTCAGTGTTGGTCCTTGTGTGGTCTGCCAGGGGGTTTTGCTGGAAATTTACACAGAAGCCATTAGGAGAAATCTGGACTTAAAACACTCTTTGGGGAAAGTTACAAACATTTCATTAAATGAGTATCAGCACACAAATATCAATGCTAAATTTGAGTTGTTAGGATACATTGGTAAATTAAGCCCTCTTAACAGGAACTTACAGGAGGTGCCATAAGAAAGTCTGTCAGGGTTGCAAGAGAGATTAACATAATCTTATTTTTTTGTGGAACACTTGCTCAGAGGCCTCTGTTATCACTAAGACTCAGGGGCATATCCACAGTCCTTAAAACTATGGCTGGGGCAGTTCTTACCTACCATAATTGATGCAACTTAATAATGATTCACAATGGATAGAATTGTGAAGGAAGTTCAATGAATATTACATCATGTAGCTAGTCAGTCAGTCAAATAGTTTATTGTATATAGCTATAGGCAATTACAGGTTGAGAAGCCACATAACACAGTGATAAATGTAAAACTAGAATATATAAAAAATTGTGATTAAAACAGATTAAAACTTGACAGACTACAGTTTCAAGAAACCACCATCAACAATACCCTCTCAGACCTTAACTTCTTTGCTGCAAATGCAAACAGAGAGACTCTGTAGGATACATATGCATTTATGACGAACCGCTGTATCTCCCCAACTGTGTGGCAGATTTTTCCCTCTGCCAGATCTTCAGTTACCGTCAGTGACTGAGTTGCCCTACAGTAGCGTGTATATATTCTTTGTCATAAAAGACTTGACTGTTCCACCCTGTTTAGATATTTAGTTTAGGCTTTTTCTCAGCTCAGGAACTCTACTGAAAATATAGAAGCTGTCTAGTTTTTTTAAACCCTTGAGAAATGGCACTTGACGCAAATTAACTTTCAAAAACAGAATAAAGATTTTATTAAACAGGCAGGGAATATATGTATAATTGGAATAGGCATGATTTTGAGATTGCTGAGGTAAAAAACATTCTAATACGTGCAGAGTTGAATTCTTAGAACATTCAAGAGAGTGTATTTGTAGTTTTGTTTCAAGGCTTTCTATTTCTTTCTTTGAGAGGTCCTTTGTTTAGCATAATTCAGCACTCACACAGTTCTTATTAATGTTTCTAGGTTTATTCCTTCAGAGTTCTAGGTTTTCCTTTAGATATTACAGCTTTTCACTAACTCCTGAGGTATCTAAGCTTCCCCCCATAATTCAGCACATAATTCAGCACTAACATAATTCAGCATAATTCAGTGGTAAGCAGTGGGGTACCGCAGGGACCTTTGTTTAGCATAATTCAGCACTCACACAGTTCTTATTAATGTTTCTAGGTTTATTCCTTCAGAGTTCTAGGTTTTCCTTTAGATATTACAGCTTTTCACTAACTCTTGAGGTATCTAAGCTTCTCCCTTGTATCACAGACCAGGGTTCTTTTCCCAGCCCCTTTCACAGGCAAGAAGTTATTCTCCTTGTCCCTAAGAAGCAATAACTCTTTTTACTATTTGTCTTGTATGGGAGTTCTCTCTAACTACCCAGACCTTCTGGCAAATCCTTCTCCAGTATCCTTTGTCTGTATAGGGCTGTTCTGTAGCTTTCCTGAGAATCTAAAATTCTCCCTCAGAGCAGTTTAAATATATCTAAGACAATGGGGTTTCTCTTCTTCTCTCTGCAGAAGTACTTTTCTGACTATTGCCTGTCATAAAATACTGACTCCCAAATGTCTCTTCCTTCAGAAGCCAAACCCTCTGGCTGCTGATCCAGACGTTAGAAAGACCAAATTGCAAAAGACTTGTGTAAGAACAAAGATCTCTTTTCCCTCCGGATCAGCTGTTGTATTTCCTCTCTCAGCTGACGTTGGCCAATCAGAGTGCAAGTAGAGCAGCCAATCACCTAAGCTCTACTCTCCAGGGAAGATTAATTCTTGAACTCCCTGACACCGATACAAACAGCATCTTAAAAGCCCGCTTTTCTGTGCAGTCTGTCACAGCATCATTATTGGATAGCAGGAATACAATCTTCTGTTCTACAGAATATGAGTTTATGACAGATAAAATTCCTGCCAAATTCTCAGCTCAAGCACTGGATATTTAGATCTGATGCACTGATTGATCATTCTTTAATTCTAAAATCTAGAGCAGTATGGTGGTATAATTTATTTTATTGAGATTGTTTTAGATGAGTTTATTTGATCAACATTTCCAACCAACATTATGTAGCTAAGTTGGCCAACTAATGAAATCATCAACGAGTTTAGCTTTCAGCATCTTCTTAGTTAAATTACATCAACTTTTGGTTTAAAGCTCTGTTGCCCTCCATACATGCATTTGTAGTGCCTTGAAGCCTAGGCTTGATTATTCCCCCTCCCCCCAGATATTCAGACCTACAGGATTTAGGTGTTTGGGAGCATGTAGTAGACTTTTATACTTCTCTTCTCTTCTTATTCAGTGAACCAGTTCCTCAGTCTCTTCCATGGTTTGCTTTAATTAAGGTGTAGCATCACAACTCCTAACCATGGCAAATTCCTTCATAGCCAGTTTGCAAAACCCAGGTCCCTGCCACACGGCAGGGAAAAGGACGGCTGAACTGCGGCTAATCTGAGCCGCACCAAAGTTGAGACGCGCGGCGGGACCCCACGGATCCCCCAAGCCGCGGCGCTCCCCGGCACAATCAGATGCCGGGGAGGAAGAGTCAGATGGGAGGGGGAGTCTGCCGAACTGCGCATGCTCGAGTACGGCCGGGGGCCGGGATGCGCCGGCGCAAGGACGTGCTGGCCGATCCCACAGCCCGGCTTGAGGCGCTCTACTGGAAAGAACCACCTAGGTAGGTGGTTCTTTTTTAGTGCGCGTTTTCGGCGGTAGGGACGGATCAGGGACGGGCAGGCAACGATTCCCAGATGTTGCCATGGGATCGCGCCCATTTGCTCCGCCCCCGTTCCGTCCCCCTCCTGGCCCAAAACGCCTCGTATGAACAGGGCCCCAGTCTCTGGGAACAGGAGGAAATCATGGATAATGTGAAATGTAATACTGTGCTATGAGTAAAGCTTTGTGTATAAATTTCTTAACAACCGATTTGCCAAATGAATATCCAAAGACCCCATCATTCTAATTCATATTTAAATTCCAGGTTTTTTCAGTTGCCATTGATGGCTCTGATGCCCGTGAAGTTTTAAATGTTTCAGTTGACACACCTGAAAATCTAGCTGTGGACTGGATTAACAATAAGCTGTACATAGTGGAGACCAGCGTCAATAGAATCGACATGGTCAGTTTAGATGGAACCAATCGTGTAACACTTATTGCAGAAGGTTTGGGAAACCCTAGAGGAATAGCTGTTGATCCTACAGTTGGGTGAGTAATAACACTGGATAAAACTGAATCCCTTTCATTTACAGCCTGGGTAATAAATGTCATCTGAGTCTTTCCCTTTGAGATATTGTGCCCATTCAACTTAATGTTTCTGTGTTCATTTCTGCTGATGTTGATCTCCGGAGCAGCGGCACTTGAATTTGGGTCTGGGCATTTTGGTCAACTCTAGGAGAGAAACATTTGCAACTCCCTAATATCAGTGTAAGCTAAAGGTGTAGTGAGGGTTGGCAGGTAGCTGCTTTGAACTTTTTGCAGGCTCAGAGCCAGAGAAAGATGGTTCTGAATCTGAGAACGGAGACAGTGCCTTGCAGTTATGTCTTGGTTCAAGGGTGATCTTAATTTTTACAAAGGTTCAGATCCTGGTTCCTACTAATTGGCATGGATACAGAATTGTCAAATGAACTGGAGGTCTTGTTTGATACTTTGCCAGTCATCTAAGTGGCTTTGTTGCAGCAGCCTACCTTATGTTAATCATCTCCTCTTGGAATAAATTTGGGGTCTGTTTGCCTTTGGCTGGGGTTTCATTGTATATTAAACCCACTTGTATGGGAAAGGCATCAGGTCTGCATGCAACACTGGAGAGATCCGTTGAATGATTTGGGAGATCCATGCACTGAAACTATACATGGGCCCCGGTCAAACGGGCAGGAAACTGCAGAGGAGAAGCGTGGCTGTTTGCCCTGGGGCAAACTACTGCGCAGTTACGTGATCAGACCTCCTGTGGAGGTCCTGTGGAGGTACCATGGAGGTTCCATGGCAAGGGAGAGGTGCCGATCACAGGACAAGCCGGCGCACAACTAAGAAGCGCGCGCCGCGGCAAACTGGTTTTTCTGAATATGAGAACGGAGACAGTGCCTTGCAGTTATGTCTTGGTTCAAGGGTGATCTTAATTTTTACAAAGATTCAGATCCTGGTTCCTACTAATTGGCATGGATACAGAATTGTCAAATGAACTGGAGGTCTTGTTTGATACTTTGCCAGTCATCTAAGTGGCTTTGTTGCAGCAGCCTACCTTATGTTAATCATCTCCTCTTGGAATAAATTTGGGGTCTGTTTGCCTTTGGCTGGGGTTTCATTGTATATTAAACCCACTTGTATGGGAAAGGCATGCAACACTGGAGAGATCCTTTGAATGATTTGGGAGATCCACGCACTGAAACTATACATGATACGTTATCTTATCCACCCGACTGCTCTCTAGCAACCACCATTTGAAGCACTATATGATTGGGGGCGCAATGCATGAATTGCTCTTTCGTCTTCTCTGTGTCTTGGAAATGTCTTCATTGATAAGGTCAGAATAGTTCGTTGGGCATAGCATCAAGGATGGGCAACAGAGCAGATGTGCAAAAAGTGATGATAACTTCCAAGGTGGACAGAGTGTTTATGTAAGCCTTATAGATATTCCCCATCAAGTTCCCTGCTGGGTGACATTCTAAGTAAGCAGTTTGTATACTGTTATGTATCTGTAAGTCAAGTTAAAACTGTGCAGGTAGCTAATTTTAAAATACTTAAGAGATGTTGGCTTTAAATGGTGAAACGATTTGAAAAAAATTATAACTTTTTTTCCTCTTTTATAGTTATTTATTTTTCTCAGATTGGGATAATCTTTCTGGCAATCCTAAAGTGGAAAGAGCCTTCATGGATGGAACAAACCGTCTAGACTTGATCAAGACAAAACTAGGCTGGCCCGCTGGGATAACTTTGGATATTGTATCAAAGAGAGTTTACTGGGTGGATAGCCGATTTGATTACATTGAAACTGTAACTTACGATGGGTTACAAAGGTGCGAGGAAGAATTCATTTGCACATTTCCCAAGCTGTTTAATTGTTTGCTCAGATTTCTTAAAAATCCTTTTAAAAACGAGTGCTTCAGTGTGGATTTTCATTTAGTCTTCACAAGACTGTTCTTTAGTGGTAAATGTTTTAAATTCTATTATGAAATGCCTGATCTTCACATTTTAATCACTATATCTAGATTATTTCTTACTGTTATTTTATTCATTTGATTTATAGTCTGCCTTTCTCACTGAGACTCAAGGTGGATTACATGCTTAAAAAGGACAGTATACTCCAATTAAAAGGCAGATTATGCAATCATTGTTCTATTTACTTGATTCATAGTCTGCCTTTCTTGCCGGGACTCAAGGCAGATTACAGTTTCTAAAAAAATTGCCAGAAGGACAGTATAGTGTCAGTATAATTACACAATTAAAGACAATGTAATAAGGACACTTTTTAATCCAATTAAAAATAGTGGAAACAAAGATTATAATATAAAAACATCAAATGATGCAATGGAACTAGGCTGCAGGGTTAAGGACAACACATGCCAGGCAGTGTGATTAGGCAGTGACAGTGTCATGGACTACCTAATGTATGGATGCAATAGTGAGTCAGGTTATTAGTGGAAGAACACCTGCTGCGTGTGTCGTTCCATATACTTACAGAAGGAGGGAATGATATTCTTGTTGCATGCATTTTTGATAGGAAATAGTATCTCTGCCGCAAATACCATGCCCTAAATTGGGTCCACCTCTACGTTGTTGCTGAGCCTTGGCACCTTGTGTCTGCTTCCTGCGTACTTTTCTGTTTTCATTTGCAGCAGAAAACATCTTCCTTTTAATTGACTGTGATATCTTTGTTTGGCTTTGTAATCTGTGCTTTTCAAGGCTTTTTAGTGAACCAGGAATGCAAATAGTTGGAATAATCTTTCTTGTTCTAAGATAAAAGCCCTAGAACTTATTATGTAGCATTACATCCAGTGAACAGGTTTTATTACTTTTTTAATGGGTTCTCATTTTTCTCTAGTTAGACAAGAAACAACTGCATAGGTAGCTTGTTAGAATAACACAGGAAAATGTTCTTGTAAGCCTGAAAGTTGATCTGTTAAAATTACGCTTCTTCTGTGAGGTACTCTTGTTTCATTAAGAATGTTATGGTTAAGACAAGGGTTACAAAATTAAGTTTCCCCCCTCTAACTTAACTAACATCGGCATGTAGTTTGTCCCTCACATAGCCTAGTCCTGTGAACTAAGTTTCACCATTCAGTGGATCTTAATTCCTAAGTAAGCATGTTTGAGGTTGCAGACATCTTTAAAATCTCCATTTTCTCCTTGACACCTCTACTTTGTATTACCAAATCTTTTCTCTCTCTCTTTTCGCTGCTTATGTGATTTTCTTTCTGAGATGGTCAGTATACAAACCATGCAATATAGGGCAGTTAACAAAGTCATTTTATGTGGTCTTTGGGCTTTCTACCGCTAGGTTTCTTAACTGCATCAGGTTTTCCCATCCCGTATACACAGTATCATTTGCCAGGCATTGTTTTCTTAGGCTCTGGTCACACACACTAAATAATCCACTTTCGAATTGGATTTTGCCAGTTCACACAGTAAAAATCCAGTTGGAAACGGCATTGAAAGTGGATGGAAAGTGGATTATTTAGTGTGTGTGACTGCAGCCTTAGCTTTTCCTCAAGTTTTCCCAGTGTTGTTTTTTTTGTCTGATGGTCTGAAAGATCATAGGAAGAACTTCAAAAACAAACAGGAGAGCAGGGGGGGGCGGTTAGAGGGGGAATGATGCTGTTAAAAAGCTGAACTGCAGCGAAAACCTGGTTCAGAAAAGCTCTCCATCTCAAAGGGAACAAGGAGTAGAGATTTTGTGCCCGTAGAACCTCCATTTTCAGTAAAACAGAAAAAAATGTATCTTTTGAACAGGAGAACAATAGTTCATGGAGGATCACAGATCCCACATCCCTATGGAATAAGCCTTTTTGAACACAGTGTATATTTTACCGACTGGACAAAGATGGCAGTGATGAAGGCTAATAAATTTGCTGATTCTAACCCACAAGTTATTTATCAGTCGTCGCTACGTCCATACGGAGTAACAGTTTATCACGCTCTGAGGCAGCCTCTTGGTAAGTCAACTGAGAGAGCCAGTAGATGTAAACCTCTTTAAACTTGCTGTAGGTGAGATCATGTATTCAACTGTAGGTTTTCCAAAGTTGTGAGCACTATACAATGTGAATGAACAAACATGGATTCGGTCCAAACATTCCTTCCCTCCCTCTTGGGAATCTGTACTGTTAAAGCTGTGACACCCATGAGCATTGGGGGAGATCTTTGCACACATTTGCATGTACAAGTCCCACTCTTCCTCATGAGATTTTGGCTTGTCTTTGAAAAATATATTAACATTTAAAGAAAAAAAAGGACATTTGTGTCAGTGGTACTCACTCCGTGACTCCTGAAGACCCACACTCACAATTATCTTCACCCAAAAGAGCCGCATTTACTTCATGAGGCCTGCACCTCAGAGGGGCTTGCAGTTTATTGATTCCTTCGGCAGTGGCTATTTCAAGATGGGACTACCTGACAACCATAAATACCACAAAGGACATTTGTGTCAGTGGTACTCACTCCGTGACTCCTGAAGACCCACATTCACAATTATCTTCACCCAAAAGAGCCACATTTACTTCATGAGGCCTGCACCTCAGGGGGGCTTGCAGCTTACTGATTCCTTCACTAGTGGCTATTTCAAGGTGGGACTACCTGACAACCATAAATACCACCAGGCAAGGGCCTTCCCCACTTTCCTGAAGTGTGGAATATGAGCCACACAGGTGACATGTCAAAGAGTTACATGTGGCTCCCAAGCCTTTGAGTGAGTATTGCTTATTTATATTAATTAAGCACATCTACCTTTTTGAAATGTGGCAGCTACTCTTAAAAGTTTTGAAGCCCTAGTTTTATTTGGATCATATTACTATAATATCAGTGTAATAAAACATAGCCAGGATACAGCCCAAACAAAGCAATTTGAAATCCTGTTGTTTTTGATGGGAACATGGTTAATTTTCCCATTGAAATCAGTGTGACTTAAAATATACAAATAGGGATTGTAGTTTGAAAACAAAAAATTCATTTTAAACAAGAAGCCTGTGTGTGTAATGTACAGAGTATCTTTTACTATACTCAGATTATTTTAAGAGAACCCTAGTTTTAGTTGGATCATGTTACTATAATATCAGTGTAATGAAACATAGCCAGGATACAACCCAAACAAAGTAATTTGAAATCCTGTTGTTTTTGATGGGAACATGGTTAATTTTCCCCTTGAACTCAGTGTGACTTAAAATATACAAATAGGGATTGTAGTTTGAAAACAAAAAATTCATTTTAAACAGAAGCCTGTGTGGGTAATGTACAGAGTATTTTTACTATACTCAGATTATTTTAAGAGAAGAATGGTTTTAATCTAGAAACAAAAGGAATACAATAGAGTGTAAACTTTTTGATTTCTCTAGAATTCCTCATCAAGCTGGATGTTAAAAAAATGGTGGAGGAGAGATAGAAACAGATGATTCAGGCCATGATGCTACTTGTCTGTGACTTATGTGTGGTATGCTGCAGGCTTGGTTAGAAAAGTGCTATCAATGGTGTCTAGGGGTGTGTGTGTGTGCTGTGTATATACTGAGTCGAATAAATACTTCATAAAACCTTATTGGTTGTTTTTTTTGTATTTATTCAGTCGAATACATATTAGACAATCTGATTTGACTACCAAAATAGCCACGCCAGGCAGTCTCTTTAAATGCCTTCTGAGTTTACTCCTGGAGTTTAAAGTTTAAATGCCTTCAGTTCACTCACCAAGTCATGCTGCAGCAGTGAGATGACTCAGTGAGTGAAATTCTACATTATACCCTATGGCAACAGTCTATACCCTATGGGGACCCCATTTATTCAGCTCCATTATACCCTATGGGGACAGTCCCCATGGGGCATAATGGAGCTGAATAAATTCAGGTTTCCCGAATATTTACCTGAATACCAACACAAAAATGGTTATTTGGGAATATTTGGGAATACTGATATTTTTCGGGTCCAATAAACCCGAATCAGGAAAAGCTATTTTTTGTTAACACCCCTTGTTGTACCATAGCCTTCAGGGATGAAGGAGATAATGGCAGCATCCATTGCTGAAAATATGAAAATCAGTAGATGATCAAAAGTTTTTCTAGAATCGCATGAAACACATAGGTCACCTAAAAGGCTGAGAGCATTCTTGTAACTTGCTACCAGCTCCAATCTAGCACAGACTAATCTGTTTCTGCCTGTACCTCATTCTGCACAAGGCGGGGACAAGAAACTTTAATGTTGTATCCTTAAACATTGCTCTCCTTCCCCCTGCCCTTTTTATTATAACACCCAGCTTGATGAAGAGCTCTGCAGAAGTCGAAAGCCAACACACTAATTCTGTGATATTTTGATCCTAGTAAAAGGTATTACAGATATTTTTGTTTGGAGATGTGTATTTGGATTGTTGCTGCTACCTATGTTCTGAATCAAGTAGTTTTAATGGTAGTTGAAAAATAGTGTTTTCTAGGCATCATTCTGTATCCAGCGGGAGTAGAGTCAAGTGGCCCTTGGATCTGTTTGCATTTAGGTAAAAATACTGGTGAAATAAAACAGCAACAAAAAAGGTGATAATGCACGATAGTTTTACAACTGGTATTGCTTTTCAGTAAGGAATCCCTGCAGTAGTGATAATGGGGGATGTGAGCAGATCTGCGTTCTCAGCCACAAAACAGATAATGATGGTCTTGGCTACCGTTGCAAATGTACGCTTGGCTTCGACTTGCATCCAGACGGCCGCCATTGCATTGGTAAGGATGTATATTGACTCTTTTAATAGGTCTTCCATGGTTGATTGCACAGCTACCTTTTCTAAATGGAACCCTCAGAACTGCTTCACATCATTATAAGAAGCAGCAAGTATGAATGAAACTATTTTATCTTACCACAGGGGGTGATGTGTGTATCATGTGCCATTCTCAGAAGTGGTCTTTGTGGTGAAAACTCTAATATTTGGAAGAAAAACTCAGATCTGTAGCCCAGGAAGCCTATCTCCTGTGTTTGAAGATACATTTCTTCCTTTCAGGTCCTATAGTATTTGCCGTGAGGCTCACAGTTAAAATTCTGGATATATGTCTGCCACGTACAGTTTGAAATGGTCCTCAGTGCCATATAACCTATGCATGGGTCTTATGGAGTCACAGAATTCACATCTGGACTGGTTTATTAGTTTAAATATCTCAAACCCCTTAGCTCAGGTTCCCATCAGCCTTTTTAAAAAAGTAGCATTCTTCAGACTTTTAAAAATTTTAATTGGGAAGGTTGTCTTGATCATATGTTATAACAATGTTCAAATCACCAGAACTTAATACGTTTTACAGGTTCTAAAGCATATTCCTAAGCAGAGTTAACACATTTCTAAGTCCATTAAAGGCTGTAACTATGCTTAGGATTGCACTGCTAATACTAGTTTTCAAAGATGATATTTTAGGAGATTTCAGTAGAGATGACTGGGTGAACAGGTCCCCCCCCGCTTTCTCATTGGCTAATGGGAGTCAGTGGGGTTTAGCCATCAGAGTGTCAGACTAAGACTGGAGCGATTCAGGTTCTTGCTTAGCAGTGTAGCTCACCTGGTGACTGTGGGTCAGTCATATCAGCCTAATTCACAAAGTTGCTGTGAGGATAAAATGGAGGAGTGAAACATGTCCACCATCCTGAGCTTGGAGGAAAAGGGAGGGGGGGTTAAGCAAGCATTGTCAGACCTCATACAGCATTTCAAGTGGAAGACGTTATAGACTGTGGAATCTAGAGAAAATCAGTTGTAACTCAATCCCAGGGAGATCTGTTAGATTTAAACACACGGCTAGGAAGTTGAATCCTGTTCATTTCGGGGGGATGTAGGTATGCATTAATTCTGTTGTCTGCTTTAGGAGGTACAGTTTCCTGGTTGGATCGTGACCTTTGTCATGTTCCTATACATTACAGGCATTACAGGCTTCACATCTGATTCCTGCTTTGATTTTTAATGCTGTTTGTCTTAACCCATGTCATTTTCTTGTACCACACACAGCTGTTTTCTGTGAATTAAATTAAAAATGGGAAAAGGTAATCATTTAAGATTCATTGGTAACAGAAAGCCAGCTGAGATCCATCTACATCAGCTAGAGCGGCAGACTAGGACTGGGGCCCTGAAGCACACTTTGGTGACTGAAGGTGGTGGCCCAGCCACTCTCTCAGAGCCTGGCCTACTTTATGGGTCGGTTGTGAAGGGAAAAATAGGCAACAGAATCATGTGAGCCACCCTGAGGAACTTAGAAGAAAAGCAGGATTTTAAAAAAATGTGCTGAAGAGATAACCTCTACCTTTGTTCCTTTCTTTTCCAGCTGTGCAACAGTTTCTGCTCTTCTCATCCCAGAACGCAGTACGTGGGATCCCGTTCAATCTCTCCAGCCAGGAAGATGTCATCATTCCTGTCACAGGGAGCCCTTCCTACTTTATTGGAATTGACTTCTATGCACAGGAGGACACCATCTTTTTTTCGGACACTACTAGAGACATCATTTATAAACAGAAGACTGATGGGACAGGTGAGATGCAAATCCCTCAGTTTTAATTTCTTGGTCTGCTAGTCTCAGTGTCTCGAACTGACGAAAAAATGGGTAATCATATCTACATAGTATTTCACAGTTGTCAAAGGATCAAATTCTGTCTTTTTCTATATTGAATGGAAACATCCAGGTCCATTTTCTTAATTTGGAAAAGAGATGTGGTACACAGATCATATCAAACCAGGCTATCAGTGGTGAGAAATTTTTGAGCAGATATATGTACAGCCATTATGGATTATCAAGTTCGTTTTAGCCCAGTATTATTTTTGTTGGGTCAGATTGGGTAGAATGGAAGATAAGTACGGATTTTGTTGAAGTGGCAGCAAGATTATAGCAAGGCATTGGTTGAGAACAGGGGCAATTTCTGAGGAAAAGTGATTGAGATCTTTTTTTAAAATGTTGATGGATAAAACTATAGCATGCAGACAATTAAAAGAAAAGTTCGTGCAGTGTTCATTCAGAGATGGAGACCTTTCATTATTTAATGGGAAAAGATTAAGCCATAAGAAAATGTAAAAGTGAGCGTAGGATTTGTTTAGCTGTATGTGTTCAAAAATCTATGAGGAACAATGTCTAATAGTCAGTGTTCCCTCTAAGCTGAGTTAGTATGAGCTAGCTCACAGTTTTTTCACCTCCAGCTCACGCATTTTTGCCTTAGCTTAGGAAGGAGGGCTCCAGAGCCAACTAATTGATGCAGTAGCCAAATCACCTGCTCACAACTTTAATGCCAGTAGCTCACAAAGTAGGATTTTGGCTCATGGGATTCCACAGCTTAGAGGGAACATTGCTAATGGTATAGACATTGTAGCTGAAGATTTGTAGATTACTGTGAAATTTGGTGGTTCTCTTCTCTTTCCTTTATTCTGTTAAAAATTATAGAAGTGCTCTTATTTTTGAAGAAGCCAAAAATAAAAATAGCACAGTAATTCAGGATTTTTACTTCTTAAAACCTCTTTGTAATTTTCTTGAACTGCATATGAAGCTTTCTTGTACTGAGTGAGACCAATGCTTGTTTAGCCCAATACTGTGACTGTGTCTTTCCTAACCCTGCTTAGTTCAATTCTGTTTCACTGAAAATGCCAGGGATTAAATTTGGGACTTTCTGCATGAGAAACCATGCAGGTCCCTCACTTTGTGGATAGTAGACGGGAAGGAGTTCAGTGGAAACATTAAGAACTATATGAAAGGAAAAGTAATTTTTAAAAGCCATCTTATGTGCACCCTAGTTCATTCTCCATTATTTTTTATATTTTTCCTAAATCCTAGGCAGAGAAATCCTGGCAGCTAATCGTGTGGAAGGAGTTGAAGACTTAGCTTTCGATTGGGTCTCAAAGAATCTCTACTGGACAGACCCTCGATATAGGAGCATTAGTGTGATGAGGGTGGCTGATAAATCCAGACGAGCCATTGTCCAGAATTTGAATAACCCTCGTTCAATAGTCGTCCATCCTGTTATTGGGTAAGCCTGAGGGTCTCTGAATGGCGCATTCGAAAACATCACAAGCTAAAGCCATTGTGCAGTGCCATCATAATATAAAACAGGTGGGGGATCGTGTCTTTTTACTGCCCTTCCATTTCAAACTTGCTCTGTTCACAAAAAGCTGGAATGTTAAAGGAAAGATTTCTGGCATACCTTTCAACCTGAAAGGCGGTTACCCATTGTTCAAGAATGGTTTTTGAATACTGGGTTCTTCTGCTTGAAGTCCCAAGAGGGATACACCAACTCCCGTTTTTAAATCTGTAGATTGGCTACAGTCTTTTCCTCCCAAGTCTGTATGGATTTCATATTGTGGTCCTAAGCGCAAGTGATGGGCGGAAGAGCAGGAGGCACCGTACAAAATTACACGGCACAGAGTTGGGGTAAAACAGGCCACAGCGTTATTGATTACATCAACAGGAGCATTGGTGCGGCATAGGGCACAGATCCAGGCATTGGATGCGCCACCTGCCATCCGATGGAAACCCCACCCCACCCCAACTGCTGAGAGTAGACCTGAGATGGCAAGTGAGTGGATCCACATGGACATATGCCTCTGAATGGCTCCCTTGCCACCTGTGAGGGGAGTGAAGCGACAGCCCCCAAGCTGGGCATCCCACTAACTGGCTCCACACCCAGGTTTAAATAAATAATACACAAAACTGCGCAGATCCTTAAACTCGCCTGTGCAATTGCTCACATATATAGGTTCAAATAAATAATACACAAAACTGCACAGATCCTTAAACTCGCCTGTGCGAAATAGGAATGCACCCCAAAACAACAAACCCGCAAAGACCCTCCTCCCCGTTAAAGAGACAGTCCTAGGCAGCCACAACACTGGACAAGCCTAAATGGAAAAGGGGGGGGGGAGGCTGAAGGCTGGGAAGCAGTTATGAGGACAAGCGGGAAGGGGGAGGGTTACGGACCCACCAAACAAGCCGAAGCACATGCTACAAAAATGCATAGCACACACGAAGGCCACCTCCAGGAATCCACGAGGCCACTGCAGCTGGCAAGGGCAGCCCCTGCTGAGCACATGCCACCAGCCACCAAGGAAGGAAATCCCCTGCAGTCAGACCGCATGCTCTGCTTGCCTGGTGAGGCAGCTGCCGGGACCAGCACCTCCCTGTTTTCCAAGAATGTCCAGACTCCTGCTGGATGCTCCTAAATCAGGGACCTGGAAGAAGCCGCACTGCTTCCTATCCGCTACTCCCAGCGGTTCGTCAAGGAAGGGAGGAACCTAAATCCCAAGCCTGACCAGTGGCTGATCCACAGGATTCCCAGAGCTGCAGTTAAAGTGCTGTATAACTCAGCTGACAATCAGCTGTTTCCCTGCATAGCTGATGGTTGGAGCCAAAGTGCTGCCCAGACGAGCTTCCAACGTGCTCTTCAGTGGCCGCAAACAGACTGGAGGCACTCGGTGGCTCTGTGGCTTTTTAAGAGCGGTGGGGGGTGGTCCCCACTCTCACTGCTTGCCCACTAAGGATGCAGCAGCCGGCCACTGGCCCACAGGAAGGTGGCCGCTGGATGCCTCCAATGCAAGCGCCCCTGCCCACATGGCCAGTGGGTGCGTGGCTCCTGAGCTGCTGGCTTGCCTGGCCCTCAGCACAAGCATCCCTGCTTAAGTCCAGGGTGGTGGCTTTTATATATACTTCCTAATAACCTCCTTTTCAGTCTAAGTTTTGCCCTTAACAAAACCATCAGCTTTGTCTTATTGTTCTGGCTCCAGTTCCAGCACCTAGAGCAAAACACAAGGTGGTACAGAATAAGCATGAATTGTTTGTTTAAAAAAAGAAGTATTTGTTCTCTGCTTTTCCGGTGGGGGCAGGGGATAATGATGACTGGAAAACACAGCCTAGGCAATATTGTTATCTGTACAGTGTTATCTGTCTAAATAGTTCCATTTGAGGAGTGTTAGAGTGCGCCTTTCACTTGCATATAACTTTCAGTTTTGAGAACCCATCTGGACTTGATGTTTTCCTTGTGGGGAAGAAAACACCCCCTCAAATAGTAATGTGACTGTGACTGAAAAGGCTATGAACCGTACAATGGCTTGCAGTTAAAAAAAGAACAAGATAGTAAGGTGAATGGAAGGAAGACAGCAGGAGGAGAAGGAAAAGGAGAGGCAGAAATTAAGGAGTGGATGTACATTTTCAAATGCTCTTTAGACACCATTTGGGAGATTGGGGGTTCCAGAGAAATAATGCAGCAGGAGAGAGGATAGTTATGAAATAGATCATGGTTTCCTTGCCTTGGAATTCAAAGTCTGTGCAGATCTCATGACCATGATGGTAGCCAGGGCATCGTCTGGCTTGCTCTCCCTCACTTGCCCCTGACTTGGCTACATTGCCTGGGACAGTTTCCTTTCACCTCTGATGAGAGGCGACTTCATTATTTAGTCTTTTGCACCACCGTTAATCTTTTCCATCTTTGACTCTTCTGTGAAAGGGTGTTCCTTTTCCTCTTCTTATGGCTCACACTCGCCTTTATTTCTGAAGGAGGATCTTAGATTTTATTTCCAGATGCATACAGTAGCATTAGGCAGCTAGTAAAACAGCGGTAATAAGTGTTCCTTTTGATTGCATTTGTTTTTGTGCATAAACCATAACAAGAAATTGTTATGTGGCTTCTAATGTCCTGGCCCCACTGGTGGACCTCCTGATGGCACCTGGTATTTCTGGCCACTGTGTGACACAGAGTGTTGGACTGGATGGGCCTTTGGCCTGATCCAACATTGGCATCTCTTACGTTCTTATGTCCAGACCAATGTGACCCTTTTATACTGTTGCAAAGTTTTTTTGTTGGTAAAAATTGAAAATATTCATTGATCTGGATGCTGGTTGTAGCACTGGACAATCAGAAGAAATGTATAATACATCATCTCTTCTGTTATATAGACCATTTCCCCTTTCCATGCACACTCAAAGAGGCGATCTGTCTACTACTTATAAAACTATTCCTACCGGAAAAATGAAGTGGCCAGTGATTCCCCAGTGTCTAATCTACCATTTCTGGACATGGTGATTGAGAGAGCAATAGCAGACTAACTCGAGGTCATTTTGGACAACTCATCTACTCTGGACCCTTTTCAGTCTGGCCTCAAACCACATTATGGGACACAGACAGCTCTGGTGGCTTTCGTTGGTGATCTTTCTCTGAACACAAAGGCCATACTTTAGTTGCTGTAGATTTTCCGGTTTTCTTTGTTGCTCCTACTGGACTTATCTATAACCTTTGACACAGTGGCCCATGCCATCTTTTTGAAATGTTTGGAGACAGAAGTAGGTATCAAGGGATGTGATTTGGACTGGTCCAAATCATTCCTCACCTCACAGACCATCCTCAAAAGGGGTTATTTATTTTTTTTATTTAAAACATTTTTGTGCCGCCTTTCTACCCAAATAGTGTCCCCGAGTATCAAAACATTTAAGCTGTTAAAGCTGCATTTAAAATAAATGTGTTTATAAAACATTTTAACAATTAAATAAAAACTGGTTGACATACAAAGGACATATAGGGAGGAGGGCTAGTAAGAGTTCCTGGTGGTATGCCACACAAAACGAAAAAGTTTTCCTCTGCTGGCAGAAGACAACAGTAGAGGGAGACAGACTAAACTCCCTGGACAGGGAGTTCCAAAGATTCTGTGCCATGACTGAGAAGTACCTTTCTTGGATTGCCACTCATCTAGTCTCACATGGCTGAGGGAGCCTGGAGATGAGCCTCCGATAGTGACTGAAGTAGATGGGTAGGTTCATAAGAGAGAAGGCAGTCCTTCAGGCCCAAAGCCATTTAGGGCTTATATTAGCACAATTAGTTGAGCCCAGACGCAAACTGGGAGCCAAAGTAGATGTGAAACTGGAATGATATGGTCCCCATGACCAAACTCCTGGCAGCATTCCGGCCGCAGCATTCTACATGCAGCTACCAGCTAGAGATTTCCAGAGAGTCTTAAAGGGCAGCCCCACATAGAGAATGTCGCCCTAATCTAACCTGGTTATTACCAGGGTGTGCAGTACCGTGGCAAGATCTTTCCTGTCCTGCTGGCTCACCACCCCTGGCGATCGCTGCCATCTGTTTATCCAACAGGAGGCTCAGGCCCACCAGCGGCCCCTAGCTGTGAACCCTCATGTCTGTGGGGCCACCTCTCCCCCTATTCTCTGCCATAACAGCTTCGTTCATCTGAGCAGCAGGGCCTTCTGCAGGTGCTTCCCTGCAAATGGGCAAGATCAACAATTGCCTGTAAACATGCATTCTCTGCCATGGAATGGTTTGTTTGATGAAGTCAGGAAGGCTCCCACTCTCCTGACATTTTATAAACGATGGAAAACTGAATGATCCAGGTGGGCATGTTTACAAAGGTAATTGAACTTTATTATAATGGAATGGTTCAGGAAGAATGCTTTATTAAAGGGGAAGAGAATGTGGACTATTTACTGTTGTTTTTGCCATCTAGTCACAGCTGATTTATGGCGGGCCCATAGTTTTTTCAAAACAAGAGATGTTCAGAGGTGGTGTTCCATTGCTTGCCTTCGTGTCATGGCCCTGGTATTCCTTGGTGGTCTCCTATCCAAATACTAGCCAAGTCTGACCCTGCTGTAGCTTACACAGAGAGCCAGTTTGGTGTAGTGGTTAAGAGCACAGACTCTAATCTGGGAGAACCAGGTTTAATTCCCCACTCCTCCACATAAAGCTGCTGGTGTGACCTTGGGTCAGTCACAAGTTCTTTCAGAACCATTTGCTCAAGAGCAGTTCTCTCAGAACTCTCTCAGCCCCACCTACCTCACAGGGTGTCCGGTGTCAGGGAGAGGAAGGGAAAGGAGATTGTAAACTGCTTTGACTCGAGTGAAGGGTGGTGTACAAATCCAATCTCTTCTCTTCTTCTTCTTAGTTTCTAAGATTGGAGGAGATTGGGCTATCCTGGGCTATCCAGGTCAGGGTCTGTGGACTGTACTACTGTACATATTCCATACTGTCTGTTGCTGTAACTGTTATCCTATTCTTGTAATGTTTGCATCATTTAATATGCCATGTTATGCTTATACTTTGTTTCAGCCAGTTTGTTCCAAGTGTTTATTTTCAGTTTCCACAATCCTAATCCTATTACATTGCTTATTAAATGCCCCATCCTGTTGACTGCATTGGCAGATGCCGTTTAATCTGTGTTTTGAATCTCAGTGACAAAGGTCCCAGTAGCACCATAGAGACCAACGAGATTTTCACGGTGTGAGTTTTCAAGAGTCATGGCTCCCTTTGTCCAGTATCAGACAATGGGAGCTTTGACTCTCAAACGCTCATGCCCTAACAATCTAAGGTGCTACTGGACTCGAATCAAGCTCCTCTACTGCAGACCCACACGGCTACCCTCTTGAAATGATTTTCATTCAACCCAGGCTATAAATGACATAAATAAAGAAGAGCAGATAATAAATATTTCATTGAACAGAAGCACAAACAGAAACTTTGAACCATTTATTCCTCTATTATTAAGGGCCTGAATAATGTTTCCACTATATTATGAATTCTGTTCATATTACCAGGCTACAAGCAAACCTTTAATAAGGAGAAAACCTTGCCTGGAGGCTTAGGTCTTAAATCTCGGTTCTTTGGGTTTACGGGATTGGTTAGTTTACACAGAGGGCCAGTTCCAAGGGCAAAACTATCAGAATTTTCATATTCATTTATACTTTTTGCATATTTTCCTTCCATTTTCAGGTATATATTCTGGACAGACTGGTTCCGACCTGCTAAGATCATGAGAGCTTGGAGTGACGGATCCCATGCGTTATCAATTGTGAACACAACACTTGGTTGGCCTAATGGCTTAGCTATTGACTGGAGGTAAGACAAAAAATATCAAGGCTGGAAGTTTTTAATGCAGTTGTTCAACAGCCAGTGAACACTGTAGATCTATTTTCCCCCCACAACAGCAAATACATCAAGAACTTTATGAGTTTTGTTAAAACATCGTCATTTTCTCTTGAAACTATAATTGTTTTTAGTAGTTTATCAAAGATAGATCTAACTTGCCACGCGAGACCTTAGGGAAGGAATTTTCAGGATATTCTGAAGGACATGGGGTTGACTTTTGAGTGACAGGGAAACTTCCAGGTGGGCCTGCGCCTTACAAGACTGCTGGCCATCAAGTGCCTCCACTTGTATTTCCACCATTTTGTGGGTGGAGGCAATGGAGGAGCTGAAGCCCATTGTTGGTGCAGCTGTTGCTGTGCAGGCCGTGGCTTGTAGCACTAGGGAGGGGCCACTCATCTGGGCTTATTCCAGGGTCGCTTTGACCCTACAGTCTACCCCCGGAAGAACAGAATCTTACAGATTTAGCTGTGGCTGAGCCAAAACTGGAGGGGCACTTTTAATGAAAGCTTTCCTCAGTTGTGCAAATTCTTACCCTGCATGCAATTTTTTCAGGAATGTTGCACAGGGGTGGGTGGAGTGATTGCCTGTTCAGAGTAAAGATAATGCTGATCCAGGAAGTATTACTCTCACTGTGAATTGGCTTTGTCATGATGTCACATAGCAAATGTGATTGGCTATGTTGCGTAGTAACATTAGCAACCGGTGGGTGAATTAAGAGAACATTCCCATCCTGTGCGCAGACTCTAATCTGGGAGAACCGGGTTTGATTCCCCACTCCTCCACTTGCACCTGCTGATGTGACCTTAGGTCAGTCACAAGCTCTGGCACAGCTGTCCTTGAAAAAGAGCAGTTTGTGTCAGAGTTCTCTCAGCCCCACCCACCTCACAGAGTGTCTGTTGTGGGGAGGGGAAGGGAAAGGAGTTTGTAAGCCGCTCTGAGACTCCAAGGGCGGGGTATAAATCCAATCTCATCCCATCATCATCTTTCTAAAGGGCGGGGGAAGATGTTTGTTGAAGCTCCATTTACAGTCTCCTGAGCTCTGCCCTTGGAGAAGCTCCAATCCTGAACTGCAGTGCTTTTGGAGGACCAATCTTTTGGAGGATTTGGAGAACAAGTTTGGTGTAGTGGTTAAGAGTGGCAGACTCTAATCTGGAGAACCAGGTTTGATTCCCTACTTCTCCACATGAAGCCAGCTGGGTGACCTTGGTTCAGTCACAGTTCTCTCAGAGCTGTCCTCTTAAGAGCAGTTCTCACAGAGCTCTCTCAGCCCCACATACCTCACAGGGTGTCTGTTGTGGGGAGAGGAAGGGAAGGAGATTGTAAGCCGCTTTGAGACTCCGAGTGAAGGGGGGGTATAAATTCAACTCTTCTTCTTCCTCTTCCCCTTCCTCTTCTTCGTCTTCCTCCTCCTCTTCCTCTTCTGTTTGCTGAGAATGTGTGGACTCTCTGTAAACATCTAAATAAAACATTGTCTCATCTCTTTCAGTTCCTTAAGGCTTTATTGGGTGGATGCCTTTTTTGATAAAATTGAGCACAGTACCTTTGATGGGTTAGACAGGAGGTCACTCGAACGCATTAATCAGATGACACATCCATTTGGTCTTACTATTTTTGGAGGTGAGTGTGGTGTTGGAGCCTGTTTACTCACTGACTTTCATTTCTCACAACATGAAACTTTCTGATGCCTTGTTGGAAGATGGACCATTGCACTTTGAAATTCATATTTTCTGCTAAAGGCTGTTTACAGGGTAACATTTCTGCACTTGGTTTTTGTAGACACACACAGAGAAGATGACAGACAGGTTTGATGCTTGCATCTGGTCTTCTTGGAAGTACAAACAAAGCTTCAGCCATTTCTTTCTGTTCTGTGAAATAAGTACACTTTTTCCTGATTGCTCATGAGAAATCCTGGAGGTGTATCTCAGATGAAAAGACTTCATAATAAATCACGGTCATCTCTTCGAGTTGTAAATGTTTGGAAGGCCACATTACACATTCATTGAATTGGTCTGTGTGGTTCATATCACTCAATTACCTCCAAACTCAGTTTTGTTGCCAAATAAGAATCCTGGCCATGTACAAAGAGTTTAGAGTGAGAATATGTTTGATTTTCACACTTAGATATTTTGGGATTGCTTTCTGGAATTCATATAGAATACTGACCTCTGCTAAATGTTACAATTTGTATGTGTGTGGGGGTTGCAGGTTATGCATACTTCACTGACTGGAGGCTTGGTGGAATAGTTCGAGTGCGGAAAACTGATGGAGGAGAAATGACTGTCATTAGGAGGGGAATCTATAACATTATGCACGTGAAGGCGTACAATGCTCATGCTCAAATAGGTAGGTTTGTCAAGTATTCAGGTATGTGGGTTGAAACATTCTGATTCGCCCCAAGATTGCATTTTACATTCATTAGGCTCTTTTAAGGGTAACTTTCAAATTTGGAGTGAAACTTCATGGCAGAGTCAGGGAGTGTGAGCTGCTGTTTCTTACACAATCAATAGTTCGTCTTTTGTAGAAGAATATAATTTGCGTGTAGTAAGATGTGTTATTGACAGTTAATAAATAAGCAGTAAATCTAGAGACCAGTAGTAGTCTTCAGTCCATGGGGTAGGACTTTGAGGTGGGTTGTGGAGCCCTACCTGCTGAGTTGTCACTCCGCATAAATCCCCCCATATATTATTGCTGGTTGTTTTTTTTTGCAAGGACCTGCTGTTCGTGTGCGTTAATAGAGAGCAAGGGGGCTCTGCCTCCTGCCCCTCTTGCATGCATGCTGAAGACACCAGCAGGACAGTGAGGTGGGGTCACTCTGAGGTGGGGAGGATTCCCCCAAGGCTCTGACCCTCCTGATCTTCCTCACTGTGGTTTATCTCCTGGTACTTAACTTATGTGTCTCCTGGTCCACTGCTCAAGACCCTGGCCTTGACACTGGTGAGGTTATAACTCTGGCTGACCCTCTACCTGACACGACCGTGATGTCACATACTTGCAGTTCTAGACAGGTTGAAAACCACTGCTATAGACCCAGGCAACAAAACAATGAAAAATTATTATGCAGTATGGGATTACCCACTGTTCCTACTGGTTTATTCCAAACACTGGGAATGTTAGGGAGAAATTACAGTTTTGCTTTTTAAGCAGAGGAAAGACTTAGTACAGTGAACCAAAACTTGGCATCGTGTTCAGCTGTTTGGTACCATTAAAGAAAGATTACCTCTTATATAGGCCTCTTTGCTCTCTTTTTGTTTCTGTTTGATGAATGTTACTATAAGAGTTCATTTGTGGAGCAATTTTGTCTCAGATGAGACAGCTCAAATTAGGTTAGACCAGATATATTCCTTAAATTGGAGTTTATAGTGTAAACGAACAGCAAGTTCTGCTGAAAGGCTGATAGTGAAGATCTGGTTGAAATTTTGCAAGATGTTATTATGCTTTTGGGAAAGAATCCATCCAAACTTAAACAGTAGATTTAGAAAAGAGTAAGAGTCCAGTAGCACCCTAAAGACTAACAAAATACGTGGTATCACTGCTCACTTCTTCAGATTGAGGTACCTGAGGAAGTGAGCAGTGACTCACAAAAGCTCATACCCTACCACAGATTTTGTTAGTCTTTAACGTGCTACTGGACTCTTACTCCTTCCTGCTGCTACAGACAGACTAACCCGGCTGCCCATCTTCATCTTCTCAGTTGATTTAGGTAAGTGTATAATCATACCATTAATCATGGCTGTATCATACCCTTAATTTTCATCTAATGCCTTTTACAGTTTCCAAATGGCCAGTCTAGACCAAAACAGCAAAACTTGTGCATTGCCAGTGTAAGGTTCTGGCAGAAGTTAATCTTTCTTGCCTCCCCTGCATCTACAGCAGGCATCTGTGAACCACAGAAGACGAATGCTGAAACTTGAGGATCTGTGTTGATGAAAAGCCACACAACTTGTATAGATGCTTTGAGAAGGGGAAAGCAAATAAAATTGCCCCTCTCTGCCTTTTCCCTCAGTGGACCCTCCTGTGCCACTGAAACTGCCAATGGAGGAGCAGATAGGAGAGGCAGTGTAGCGTACATTTGTCTTTTGGAGGATTGCAAATGGGGGAAGAAGGAGGTGGGGAAAATTCCAATTTGTTAAGCCAAGAGCCCATTTCATTGAATGGATCTGATGGCACAACAATGTGTGTTAATTTTATACTGTCAAAGGTTTCTTATCTTTTTTCACAATATGTAAACTGTCTTTGAGAAGGAGAGCGTATTTTAATAGTTTCTTTGTTCTGAAAATGTAATGTATCACGAATACCTGATGGTGTTTTTGAAGGCACAAACTACTGCAACAGAGCCACAAATCCAAATGGAGACTGCAGCCACTTCTGCTTCCCAGTTCCTAATTTTCAGCGGGTTTGTGGCTGTCCTTATGGGATGAAGTTGAGTTCTAACCAGCTGACCTGTGTGGAAGATCCGTCCAATGAGCCTCCCACGTTACAGTGTGGTTCGTATTCCTTTTCCTGTGGCAACGGGAGGTGTGTGCCCAGGCACTATCAGTGTGATGGTGTGGATGATTGCCATGACAACAGTGATGAACAGAACTGTGGATCCCAAAGTAAGTAATACTTGCACTCCAGAAAGTGGGAAAGCTTAATCTGTTTTCTTCTTCAAGAAAATACCTAACTCTGATAAGTTGTTTTTACTTGAAGTTTTTGAGTGCTTAAGCTTATCTATATACTAATAGCGAAGTCGCCCCCGTGCGTTCGGATACCTAAATCCACGCATCGGGGGCACCTGGGGGGAGGGAGATTTTTGTGCACACTTGGGGCAGTCCCCAGGTGTGCACAAAAATCTAAAAACCCAGAAAAAATACAGAGGGGGATACTTAAATCCCCCCAAAAGTGACAGAGCATCCCCTGCACATGCGCAGGGAACGCTCTGCGAACTCCCTCGCCGCCGCTGCTTGGAGGGGGGAAAGAGCAGCGAGGCCCGAGTGGCAAGCCGCTTGGGCCTCGCTTCGAAGCCGGGGGGGGGGACAGCAGCGAGGCTTGCCGC